TGTGTGTGTGTGTGTGTGTGTGTGTGTGTGTATGTGTATATATATATATATATATATATATATATATAAAAATATAAATATATACACATATATATACATACAAAAACTAATGCAACATTATTTTTTTATTTTACAGTTTATCTCACAATTAATTAAACAGTTAATTGTGAGATAAAATGTAAAATAAATATTTTGACTCTGAGGTAGAAACAGGCTTCCATAGTTCCTTTTAGAATGGATGAGCCTACCTGAGACTTCTCTACAGAGGCGTTGTGTTTGTCACACATGGGGCTGATCTCCATCCCTCGCTCTCTCTCTCGGTCGCCCTGACTGAAGAACTCCTCCATGATGCGGTCCGTCCACTGTCTGTACAGCTGCAGGGGTTTGGTGGGGTTACTGAGATCCGCACAGTGAACCATGTTCTGAAGCACCTGAGGAACATCAACACATGCTTCAACTGAAAATTCAGTGTTAAATTACAATTTCAATACGGTATGTGTCAGATGCAGCCGAGAAAATTACATCATATAATTAAAACAAATCAGTACCATAATAAAAAAAAATCATAAAAAAATGTAAATAATGATGTAAAGTATTAAAATGTTAAACTAAGTTTAAAATGTTAATCTTATTTAATATAACATTAGATAGTTATTGAAATTCTATGAATTAACAAGTTACAATTTCAGCTTATTTTACAATTTCAATGTCATCCTTTATGTACAACAAATCAGTATCATAATAAAAAAAATTCATTAAAAAAAATGTAAAATGAGGTAAAGTATTAAATTTTTAAACTAAGTTTAAAATGTTAAACTTATGTAATATCCCATTAGATCATTATTGAAGTTCTATGACTTTACAAGTTCTGCATAATTTAGCATTTAAATCACGTAAAATTAGTCAAATGAGTATCACATTAGACAGTTAAGTTCTATAAGTTTCCAATTAATTCTTAATTTACACTTTAATTCATGTAAAATGAGTCCGATGGAGCTGAGAAAATTACATCTAATATTTACAAATAAATATCATCATAAAAACACTGAATACCAAACTTATTAAAAAATTATATATTAATTAATATAATATAATCTTATATTTACAGCAAATCAGTATCATAATAAAAATAAATAATAAAAATGACTTTATCCCATTAGATAGTTATTGAAGTTCTATGAATTTATAGTTTCTACTTAATTTACCATTTAAACCATGTGTATCAGATGCAGCTGAGAAATTTATATAAACAAATCTGCATGAATAAAATAAAACAAAACGCTCTTCTTAATAAAATTATTTATTATTTAAATCATTGAAGTTTATGAAGTTCTATGAATGTCCAATGTATTCTTAATTTACAATTTAAATAATGTGTCAAATGTAGAAAAGTTTTTAAAAAAGTGTCAAATGTAGCTTTTTACATTTATGAACAATGAAAAAAAACGGTCTTAAAAAAAGCTGATTTGAAAGTAATTCTGATAAATATTATTTAATATCTCACTATGTAGTTTTAGAAGTTCTATGAATTTCCAAAGTACTGTGATTAAACAAATAAATGATAACAATCAAATGGGTTTCTTAAACACCACTGGTCAACAAAACACACAGTCCCGCCCCCCAATTCACGCCATTGGCTGAGCCAGAAGTGGCTGTGTTGGGCCGCTCGAACAAACTCAGCAATGTTTTGATAGAGCCACAGTTTACAGTAGGCCTGCCAAAAAAATTTTGAATTTCGAATATTCGTCGAATTTAAAATAAAATTGTTTTTGTTTTTGAAGCTCAAAGTGGGATGGAGCCGGCTGTCGACATCTTGGCAGAGCGTCACTCCCGGATAATCGAAAATGGGTAAAGAGGCGGGAAATGTTTGCTGAAACCACACCCACCTAGCTCGACGGTGGTGACAGCAGCAGCAATCCACCTGTCACTCAAGTGGCCACGCCCTTAATTATGCAGAACTTTAAGGCTTAATATAATATAAACGGATGAGTTATAAAAAAATTCACCCCCCTCACAGTTGTCATGAAGGGCAAAATTAGCTACATAGACCAAAACCACTTTCTGTACCAGGCTGCAAACATGTTTTTTTCTGCTGTAAAGTTGGGCATTTTAACATGGGGAGTCTATGGGACTGACTCCCTTTTGGAGCCAGCCTCTAGTGGCCAGTCGATGAATTGCAGTTTTAGTCACTTCCGTGTTGGTTTCACGAGAGAGACTGGAAGGTTGCCGCTTGGTCAAAACCGAAACCAAGCCGTTCACACAGATATCGCGTATTTATCGCATTTTCTAGAGGGACATCTATCAGCGTTGCACACGCGTCTCGCACAAGAGAGCCGCATGTTTAGAAAGCTATGTAAAATTAATGTAAGTTCAACTTTTTAAAAACATGTCTCAAGACTTTATGGCGGTTTTTCCCATCTCAATGCATCTCAAGTTTTCAATGAAGAAAGTACTCTTTGTGATTGGTTTTCGGTCCTTTGTATTAAACTATACATACATGCATGATGCTGTTTTGTTTCTAATTGTTTAAGCAACTTTATTAATTATATATGGTTTATAAACATTATTTTAAACATTATGCTTTTTAAACTTTTTTCAAAGATAGTCGTGTTATTTTATTATGCTTTGAAGAAACGTGCATAATATTTTGCTCGATGTGCCTCAGGAGAGAAGCCAAAAGCTTTTTTTCCCCCTAACTGAAATTATGCCTTTTAAATTCGAATATTGATAATATTTAAGTAAAAAATTCAAATTTAGTTTTTCAGCCATTTTGGCAGCCACAGTTTACAGAAAGTCAAAAATGACCCATATAAGCTTAAAAGACTCACTTGAATCCTGTCTGAGTAGTTATCCAAGAGCAAGACTCCAGAACTGGTGACCTTCTTCGTCTCGACCATGGTCTTCAGATCGGCCAGCAGGTTCATGTGTTTGGACATATCAGTCGCCAAGACCTTGGAGAAACGTGCGAGAAAACCTTGAGCCAGAATTCTGAACGAACATCATCAATGCTAAATGTCATTTGAGCGGGACGTACGATGTCGATGACCATCTTGCGCAGCGATTGTCTCTGTTTTTTGGTCAGGTTCTGGAAGATGTCACAGTTCTCCTCCTGCAGGAGTTTGAAGCCCACTGCCAGATGATGGTTTTCCAGCACCGACGAGTCATTGTACATGAGGGCTAACTCCGAGTCTGCAGACATGAAGAAAACACGGCAAACTCTGTGACCTTGTGCTAATCTGTAGATGAGCGTGACAAACAGCTGTGTCAGCACAGCAGCAGGACTCCATCACTGTCTGTGAGAGATTACAGCGTGACGCAGGAGAGACAGACACACACAATCCCATGAGGCCTGAGTCGCATTTATCTGTCCTATCGGCGCATCAGTGCTGCTTATGACAAAATAAAGTTATGTAAGCGGCGGTTGCGTGGATTTGAGGACAGATGTGTGCTGGTCTGTGTGTCTCTGAGCTGATGGGATTGAGTGATCTGCTCTGAACCATTTCACTGAATTTATAGATCCGTCCATTACAATACAAACCCCCTGAGCTGCCATTCAGGGCATTATTAGGTGTTTAAATACATATATTGTATTTATCAAATGGATAGTGCCCGTTCTGGGTGCTGATTGGTCAAATAATGCATTCTAGTTTTAGATCTTGTAGAGGAAGAATAACTTGATGAATTTTCTTAATAAAATAATGTTGTAATTAAAATTTGTGCTCTTAATATATATATATATATTTTTTTTATTATTATTATTTAGTAACCGTTTTATAAAGGCAATAAGGCAAAGCCTTTTATACCTTATGGCTTAATTACAATAGTCATCATAACATTCATAACTATTAATTTTTTTTAACCAAATTTTGGACCAAACTGTGAAATTTACATTATTATAGTTAGACATTTAAGTAATTTGATTATTATATTTATAAATTGACATAATTAGATTGCTATGTTTAGACATTTAAATAAAGAGATTATTAATACATTTAAACAATTAGGTTATTATATTTTACACATTTAAATTAGTTTATTTTATTTGTACATTTAAATAATAAGATTATTAGATTTATTCATTTAAATAAGACAATTATATTTGTACATTGAAATAATTCGATTATAGAAATGTAAATAAAGAAATTATTATATTTAGACAATTCAAATTGAGATTACTGTATTCATACATTTAAACGATGAGATAATATTTGTAAATTTCAATAATTACATTATAGAAATTGAAATAATTATAATAGAGGATTAGATTTTCACACTTAATGAGATTATTGTTTACACATTTTATAATGATATTATTTTTATTATTTATATTAAAAATATTATTTATAATGATAATATTTTTTTATTAAACTTGAAAAATTTACACCAAAAGCATGACTGCAGACATTTTTTTTTAATCTTCTAAAATTAAAAGTTTACTATTATTATTATTTTCTATGGCATAATCCAATAACAACCAAACACATCACAAATGTTTTGTTAATTTTAGTATTAGTTATCATATGCTTTGAATAAACCATATATTCCTAAAGCACACTTACTGGTGTTAATAAGGAACTGGTTGGAGACACCCGGGTGGTCTACGTCGTGAATAGCACTGGCGAAAATGGCAGCGAGAATTTCAAGATCTGTGAAAACCGCCTGAAAGAGAACAACATGTGGATGTACGGTGAGTGAGAGCAGACATTATCTTCACCACATAACCTTTCTAGAAATCCAGCAAGTAGCACACCAGGTCATATTGAATCAAATGTGAAATAAATGGCGCACATGCTACGCTTTTGACCTGTAATCGACTTATAACCTTAGTCAGGGTTAGTTGCATCAAAAAACTCATAATTTAGCTGTTGCGTGTCCATTTTCCACCGCCTATTCCATAAATGTGACCCTGGAGCACAAAAGCAGTCTTAAGTCGCTGGGGTATATTTGTAGCAATAGCCAAAATACATTGTATGGGTCAAAATGATCGATTTTTCTTTTATGCCAAAAATCATTAGGATATTAAGTAAAGATCATGTTCCATGAAGATATTTTGTAAATTTCCTACCGTAAATATATCAAAACTTAATTTTTGATTAGTAATATGCATTGCTAAGAACTTCATTTGGACAACTTTAAAGGCAATTTTTTTGCACCCTCAGATTCCAGATTTTCAAATAGTTGTATCTCGGCCAAATATTGTCCTATCCTAACAAACCATACATCAATGGAAAGCTTTCAGATGATGTATAAATCTCAATTTCGAAAAATTGACACTTAAGACTGGTTTTGTGGTCCAGGGTCACAAATGTTCTCATTTATTTTTAAAACGGCAAGGAAACCCTTGTTTTGACGGCATCTCTCACCTCCAGAGCAGGCGTGGAGAGCAGCACGTGTGTGGACTGGGTGACGTCAGCAGCATGAATGTTATTGTGATACGCAACATCAGCATGATAATGGTCTTCTAAGGTCATCAGGTACGTTATGAAAGTGTCCAAGGGAATTTTAAATGTTTTGAGTAAATCCCTTTCCTGTGGGAGAGAAAAACAGAAAGAAAATGCATTTGCAACACATTTAACATCATGTGACACAGCATGTTAAATAATGCAGGATTTCATTGGATCATATAAAGTAGGCTATGATATTATTGGTTAAAGCTGTTTTTCCCTGTCCATGTGACCTTAGTTACATCAGAGGTGAAGAAAGTTATGAAAACAAACACTGATGAATTGTGCACAGTAAGACTTTTATTAGTCAAGTAAATAAAGGGAAATTCAGAGTGGTGAATGTTTGGGCTCACCTGAAATATAGTGTACATCATCACCGTTAAAGGCCTGTTGCCTGACAACTCTGTGACTTTAAAAACATTAAGGCCCCATTTGTTTATGTCCTCCAGTTCCTGAAACACAGCAGCCAATCATTAGACAGTCCCGTTGTGTGTGATGCCACTTCACTCCAAAAAAAATTGGAGTACCAAAATTTTGACAACCAAAACTTTTTGGCCGAAATAGCAATTTTCGGTTTGCTAAAAACATAAAACATAAATTCTGTAATGAAAAGTTGACAAAAGCTCTTTATGTGCAATTTAAATGTTTTTACAACTTATTTATTATTAAATAAAATTGATAAATACAATTTACTTTCAGCTTCAGTTTTCTGCTAAATAAAAAAAACTCCAATTTCAATTTCGGTTGAAAAAAAAAACAAAAACATTTCAGTGCATTAATAATTAATATTAATACAATTACGCAAAAACTATTTTAAAATAAGTTTTAAAAAATCATTTTCGGCCCAGAATTTTTCTTTCAGTGCATCACTATAAATGACGGTTGTCTTCAGTAGAGCTGCTCGTAGCTGAATTAAACTTGTTTCAAAATTTCATAAACTTTACACTATTATAAACTAAAAATCAACGCTGAACTAAATTGAGTTGAATAATGGCAATGTTGTTCTGTAGAGCCGCTTTATAGCTGAATTGAGTTTGCTTCATAATTGATGATCTCTGCAACACTGACACTGTTTTGGATCAATACTGAACTAAACTGAACTGAATAACAACACTATTGTCTTCAGTAGAGCTGCTTTATAGTTTCTATACTGTGTTTCCTTCATAGCTTTGCAGCATTCAGTTACTGAACTAAACTGAGCTGAATAATGACACTATTGTCTTTTTTTAGGGTTGCTGTACAGCTGCATTTGTATTTGTTTCATAATTGAAGAACTAATACTGTTATTTTCTTGTTTATTACTGGGAAGCTGCTTTGAAACAATTTGTATATTATAAAGTGCTATATAAATGAATGTGACTTGACTAAACCCATTTGCAACACGCATAAATATAATAAATGTTGGTTTGGCTTTTAAAACAGCCACAAAATGTTCTGGAATGATTCAGGACTCGTTTTACAAATAACCAATGAATTTGAGGAAACTGATCTGCTGAAAAGAGCAGCGCTTGTTGTGTTTCTGAATGCATTTATCAATCAATCAATCAATGTGTTGATGAATACTAGCTTAACCAGCAATATGCTCTCGGTTAAAAAACCTGCCGGTCGACAAGCTTCCTGGTGAACAGCATGACATTAACTAGCATGGAAACTCAAGCTGCTCCAAGCTGCTCTTTTCAGCAGGGTACAAAATCTTTCCAACTGCATGTCATCCATCTACGTCATCGGACTGAAAAGCTCCAATGACCTTTCATCAAGGTCTACAAGAGTCTCTGATCAGATCCAATCAGCATTCAGTTGAGATGATTGAGGTTCTGTCCGAGTTTGAAGCAGCTCTCCAGCACAAATAAGCCTGTCCTGCATCACCGCTGCTCACCTTGGCTAAGGAGTCTTCCGTTTCCGTCTTGACCCCGAAGCGAGGGATGTTGGAATTGGTGAGGCTGGTGCTGTGCATGAGTTTTTTCACCCCGCTGATCTGACACATGGGCTTTTTCTTCTTCTCCTTCTCCTTCTGCGTCTGCGGGGAGGGCATTTCCACATCGTGCTGTTTGTCTGGAGAAATAATGGGGAGGAGAGCGTGAACGCGAGCTGGAGCTCCAAACCTCACCATAACACTCACAAGTCAAATGTGTGAATGTTTTGTGATTGATGGTTTACCTAAAAATGTGTTGGAGATGTACTCGGAGACCTGGTTACCAGATCTGCTCATCTCAGACAGGTGCGTTAACTCCCTGTTCAACATCCGCTTGAACTGCACAGAGAGATAGATAGATAGATAGATAGATAGATAGATAGATAGATAGATAGATAGATAGATAGACAGACGATGGAGAGAGAGATAGATAGATAGATAGAGGAGAGATAGATATAGATATAGAGAGAGAGAGAGAGATAGATAGATAGATAGAGAGAGAGAGATATATATATAGAGAGAGAGATATATATATATATAGAGAGAGATAGATAGATAGATAGATAGAT